CACGTGGGCCTGAAAGTAGAGCTCAGACAAGGCTGCAGAGACCAAGAGGTAGAACTTGGGGAGTAGCCTGGGGCTGTGTGTACCCAGAAAGCCAGTGTGTTCCCTCTGGAGCCCCCACCTGGCCGCCGCCCACCGCTGCCTCCACGTGGGCCCAGCCCACAGCTTTGGGTTTTAAGAGAAGCTGGAAATGGGGATTTTGATGTGGATCAGACTTGGCTGCTGGTGGCCACTTTGAGCCCCCTCTGTCCCCAGGTTCTTGCCGTGGAGGTGGGCAGGGGACGTCACCTGCAGGAGTCAGCGTGGTGCTGGCAGCTCCTGGCGTCGGCCCTGCTGCCTGGGGTTGCTGGGGTGTGCTTGGGCCTCCGGCCGCCCGTGGCCTCCTTGGGGAAGGGCTGAGCATCCGCGGTGGGACAGCAGGCCGGGCCTGTTGAGCAACAAGCTGGTGGAAACGGGCTGACGTCACTGGCGTGCCGCGTCCTGCAGGACACCTGGGTGGCAACGGGTGGCAGCTCTGGATCTCACTGTTGGGCCAGGGTGGGGACTCCTGGGCCTGGGGGGTGCAGAGCAAAGGGCCCCCTTCAGTCCTTAGTGGGCAGGTCCTTCCTGAAGCCAGAGGGGTATGACCCTGATGGGGCTGAGCTGTCCCCTGGGGCTGGTCCCCAGGGCCTGGCCTGCCCTTACCCGGGACACCCGTCTCTGGGCCCGAGCTTTTCCGGCCAGAAAATGGGTTTACATTGCTGGGCCTGTGCGATTTACTACAAATCCAAAGGGGAAGGCCAGGCTGGACAGACCCAGCCCTGCACTGTGACCTTGGGCAGGCGCACTTAGCTCTGCTGGGCCTGTTTCTCACCGGTAAAGTGGCCCTAATAGTAAGACCTGCTTCCTACAAATTATTGGGAGGATTAAACGAGTTAACACCTGCAAAGAGCTGAAAGTGTGCTTCAGAGAGGGTGGAAGATTGGCTTGAGGATACACAGCGAATTGGCTTCAGATCCCCCAGGTCTGACTATATCCCTGGAACCTGGAGGGGCAGGCAGGGGGCAGTGCTGCTCAGTGAGCAGACATGGTGCCTGAAGTCACACAGCCCAGCGGATGGGGAACCTCGCCACCCGCTTCGCCCCCGCGCTCACGGAGCCGTCTGTGTGCCAGGCACTGTTCCCGGCAGTGAAGTAGCAGCACTGGACAAATCAAATCGATTCCTGCTCTGGTGGGGCTGGTAAGGGAAGGAGGCGCCGGGAACAGAGCAAAATGGGTAGGTGAGAAAAACCTGATAGTGAGGAGCGTGGAGGAGATAAAACAGGGAGTGTGGAAAGAGTGACTGCGGGCCTGGGACTTTCAATTGGGAGGTCAGAGAGGACTTTCTGGGGGAGGGAACCTTCGAGCTGAGCCCGAGGCGCTGCATAGTGCCGAAAGGCGCAAGAGAGCGCAGATGCCTTCATCCCGTGGGAAAGCATGAGCTGTGGGTGCCCCGCAGTGGACAGCCTTCAGGCGGGGAGCCTGGGTGGACACGAGGCAGCGGTTGGGAGCGGGAGGGCCTCTGGGAGGTGGTGACTTTCAAGCCTAGCCGCCAGTGTCCCGGCGGGTGGCCCTGGGGAACGCAGCTGCACCCCCTTGGGTCCCGGATCCTTCCCTGGCCCAGAAAGCCAGTCTGGGCTGTTGGGAAGGCCCAGAGAGCCAGTAAGCTAGGCGGGTGTTTCATCTCATCCCTCCCCGCCCCCCACCCCCCAAGGGCACCGGGAGATGTCATTTCTCCAG